TTTTTTTTTTTTTATATTACAGTGTACTAACCTCTGAGAGGTATGTACACCACTTATAAGTACACATATATACATGTATATAGAGGATAATATGTGTATGTTGTGTTTCTTTTCCTTCCATGCACGTGCAGTACATCTGGTCGCTGAGGGAGAGATTAGCCGAGTCCCAGACGAAGGTTGGCTATCTCTTTAAATATGACGTCTCGCTGCCGCTGCCGCAATTCTACGCCCTCGTGCCCAAGCTGAAGGAACGCCTTAAGGACTGCGATATTCGCTTCGTCACTGGTTTCGGACACATTGGTAAGTTGCTCACGTAAATGTGTGCACGCCGGGCCTTTTGTGCTCTGGAGTGCGCCCTCGCGCGCGAGTAAATTAAAGGAGGCTCGCTGCCTTTTAAAGACTCGGTAACGACGAGGGTAAGCACTGAATAATTACGCTGTCAGGAATAGTATACAATTCGTTTTTTTTTTTTTCTTTTTTTTTTTTTTTCCTCACATAAAATCGATAACAAGACTTTTCCCGCAATCATCCAAAATTTTGTTCGCACATCCGCGTGATGTAATCAAAATGAGTTTTAAAAAAATATTTTTCTTATACTGTAAGGGCAAACCTCGGACAAACCTTCACTGTTGTTTTTACAGTAAAAATGACGGGAACTCGATACTCAAAATATTTCATACGAATCTGAACTCTTCAATAAAATCTAAATTTTAGTGTAATTTAAGCCGGAATATCATATAATATGTGCTGTTGATTGACTCGATCGTATGAATATTCAAATAGATATTCAAGAAATACATGCACATGGTAAGATTACGTCGAATATCGGTAACATCCAAATCGTTTGTCTATATAATATATTACCTTGAAAAATTTTACCACCCCTCAATATCATTAAATTATAAAGTGCTACCAACCTACACTAACAAACAACTCAAATTTCAACTCTCAAATCATGTATATTATTGGAAATTGATTGATTTATCTGTATAGATCTCCGTATTGAGGTCGAAAAAGTTCATCTATACATATAAATGACGTATGGCTGCATAATTACTTGAGAGATTAATAATTCTCAGCTCACGTATATATATGTACACGTATGCTCGTAAATTCACGTGACCTCAAAATGCTTGATATATTTTTTTCCACCTATGTATATGGCTAATATCAATTTGTAACTCGCGTAATTTACATTAATAGCTTAATATTTGAACCATAGATTATATCCCCTCTCAGCATGACGAAGAACCAACATCAAGTATTCCTCTATACACTGCAAGTTCACAACTCTAACATTATTGATGACAGTGAGATTTTTCAATCATATAGACTTACGACGAAGGAAAACTCAAAGTCTCAAGATAGACCTTTTTTTTCCTTTAATTTAAACGCAACAAATCTATAAAAAAAAAAAATAATAAAA